CATTCTTTGCTGGTCCCTATTTTTACCAACAGAGTGGAGTGTAAATGCGGCACGAGTGGACCTAATTAACACGTCCATACATCAATCATCTGGCCAGCGAAGGAAGAAGAGTTCAGCGATGCGGATTATTGTGCGTAAATTACTCAGCTAGATGTGTGTGTGTGTGTGTTTGAGGATTCTGATGAAACAAAAAAGGAGAAGAGAAATGGCACGTGACCTTTGACACCAACCTTAAAGCTAGCTTTAAGTTTCCCAACGCCCAACGTCATTGTCGCGGTCTGTCATGTTAAGTTTTCCGCTGCCCGAGAACTTGTTCCCATGCTAAACTGTCAGTTTGCATTTTGTTGCACGCAGCAACACACGGGGTGGTGGTGAGTGCGGGTTTTTCCAGATGGGGCAAGATGGGGATTTGGGGCGGTGGTGAAATGGAAGGGGCGTGGCATGGGGTCAGCCCGAAGCTGCTGCCGCTGCCGCTGCGTCGCTTATAAATGACATGACATCAAAGCGTAACAAGCGGCACTAAATCTAAACGATGCATGCGTATACAGACAGTACTTGAGATGTTTACACTGAAAGGATTTTCTTTTATATATTTATAATATATAAATAGTTTAAAATATATATTTTACATAATATAAAAATGAAAACATTTTTATTTCTGCTTAAATAACATAAAACATGAGGAGGCTTCTGTTCCTTGCTTTATTGTTTCTTTTAGAAATACTTTCTTTCTATGAAATATCTAATGGGTGTACCATTATTGATATTTATTTTTATATCCAATTTTAATATATTTTTCTCAGTGTAGAACGCTCACACAAGCACGACTGCACACTCACAGACGGACAGCTGTCGAGCTGTTAAGTCTACGCTGGACAGAAAGGATGGCTCCGTTCCGTTTATGGGCCAAAAAGGGTATGTGGTCAGGAGCCGATTTTGTGGGGCTGCTTTTGGTTTCAGTTTTAGTTCCAAATTTGTTCTCCTATTCGCTTTTAAAAGGTCGTCAAAGTGTACGGAAATTCAATCAAATTTATCATCAGCCAGTAACTTTATAACTTTAAATATTAGAAGCGAGTTCTACCTTGCCAGGTAGTGTTTAGAATTAATGCATAAATCAGTAAAAATAATAGTTAGATGAAATAGTTATATGAAACATTCAAACTAGAAATAGTACATAGACTTCCTTTTAAAAATCTAATTTAAATATATCTCAAATAATCAAAACTGAAAATCAAATTCTCCTGCGATTTTCACAGCTTTAAAAATTTTTCTGACCCACAAATAAAAATGAAGAAAAAGCGGTTATTTGAGAGCCGTTTGTCACGGGAAAAAATTGAAAATTTTAACGCCACAAAATCAAAGAAAATATTTATGCCAATAACCTTTTGACAGGTAAAAACATATAATTTCGTGTGCATATTTATTTTCGCTATCACGCATAAATTTAATCGCACAAGCTGGCCAAGAAAAAAATACCCTAAATTATAGTCATTTGTCAGGTTCATCTATATACTGAATTTGTGTATTTAATGTTATTTTTTAGCTCAACTCGCTTTCACAGAAGAGTTGTGCAAACAAAGGCTGACCAGCCTGGAATTTTCGGTATGTGAAATTCTCCTTTACTGTGAGCATAAAAAAAATCAACATCAATTGGATGTATACAAAAAAAAATAAAAACAAAAGTGGAAAAGTGGAAAACAAATCCAATCTATGACCAGGTTTCAGTCAGTCAGTCAGCCGGTTTTGCAAGTGCTGAAGAGAAATTCAAATATTGCAGAATAATTGTTGAAATGAAAGTATTTTCGATATTATTCTATTTGTTTATTGTTTCGTGTTACATTGTTGCACAAACACACTCTGTTTCAAAGGGTTTGGCTTCATATATCCCTGTATTCTATAGCTGCTCCCGTATTCTGAGTCCTTTTCATACAATTGAAAAACAAAAGATAGGTGAACTTAATATGTATTTTCTCTGGAATAACAAAACCTACTGATGAATTAAGTTATAATAAATCCGAGATTTGCTCTTAGTTTTAAATATTTTACTAAGAACAAACAGTACCCTTAATTAGATGAGAAGTCTTGTAATTTTAAGATTTATATGAAAAACAAAGAAAGGAAACTTACTTCTATACCCTTGAATTTGGCACTAAATTATTAAGAATCAATAAATTTTTTGTAAAAAGAAAATAAAAAGAGAAAGAACATAAAATATTTGGTCATATGAAAGAAATATGAAAGAAAACAATTATTTCAAAACTATAAAAAACGTAATTATTAAATTTGTATAACTAATAATAGTAGAAATACAATATATATAGTAAAACAAGGTTTGAAAAAGATATTTGTAAAAGTAAAGTTTCGTTAATTTGTCATATCTAATTGGCCAGAAATAAAAAGGTAAACAAACGAGGTTTTCCAACTCTCCAAATATCAAAATTGAGAGCCCCAAGAGTGGATCGTATTTAATTTGTGGCGCTCTCGCTCTTAGGTTCCACTTTCAACGCGGGAGCAAAACAATAACAGAGAAGAAAAAAATCTAGCGCGCGAGCTCAGCGAAGTTCGAGGATAAGGAAACAAGAAAATGTTGTTGTTGCACTCACCCCCACATAGACTGCGCATTGCTGTAGATCCCAACGGCGAATTAGCAAACGAATCGCGGACAAATAAAGAACGAAAAAGACCTTTTACATTATCGACGGTATTGCACACACTTAACACACACATTTCCTACACATTTGTTGCACTTGCACATCAAAAAAACAACAAAAATGAATCAGTCAACAAATCACGCACTGATCTTGGCTCTAAATGAATAAAAAAGCGAAAACACGACTGCGTCCCAGCTGCCCCCACTTAACTTATACTTTACACTGTGGGCTCACTGTTTTCCCGCACTTTTGCACCTGCCACTGGTTTTAAGCTGTAATTTTTAATTTATTTCACATTTTACCGGCGCGGAGGTCTTTTCGTTCTTTTTTGTCTTTTATTTTGAAGCTAGAGATGTAATACTATACGATGGCTAGTATTCGATGGCGGAGTATCGATATAGTACTTTGACTATCGATATTGTCCCCAATTTTACATCGCCAGGTGGAGCAACTAAGTTTCAACAGTCACCGGGAGAGGGAGAGTTCGTTCAGCGATATTGGAGCGCGGCGATGTTTTTGCGATGTTTCGCGATGTTTGGGAGAGAGGAAATGCTTGCGATATTGTCAATATCAGCTGGCTACTTCCGGTTTCGGCCTGGACTGAAGAAATGAACCATTTTGTATGTGGTGGATAGTTTCTAGCTTGTATCTAATTTTCCTAATTGGGTCAAAATGGGTCTGTAAATAGATAATTGATAAATAAAAATAATGATCGGAAATTAAAAGAAATATTTATAATATATTATTATAATTATACTATAATTAAAATTACAATTATATTATTTATATAATTATTATATAATATTAAAATATATTGTATAATATTATATATTATTAATTATATTAAAATATTAGGATATAATTAATAAAATAAAACCACTTGAATAAAAATAAAAAATAATCAAACGAATTGAAAAGAATTCTCAACTTTATTACCAACTTGTCTTGGTAATTTAATATCTGCATTTCTTCAAGTGAAAGTTTTTGCGCCCACTTCCGGTTCAAGTTGTGAATTATAACACCGTAGTGAAACAGATATATATATACGTATATAAGCATGATGTATATGTACTTTGGGGCTACAAAAGTTTTCAACTGGGCAAAAGTTGAGGCCGTGTTAAGCCAAACTAGTTAGCCATGGGATTTTGCACTTCTTGTAGCCAGGAAATGTTTACATATGCGCATAAAGATGCACCCTGTCCTTTTCCCTTCCTTTTCTCCGGGGTCTAAGCTTTGGCGAGGATATCCTGCAGGATTCTCCGAGTTCCGAAGAAAACCGTCAAGTGTCGGCGGGTCGTGTGAAACTTTGTTCCATTTGTTATGCTCGTAAATTGTGGACACTGAGAGGCCAAGATAATCTCATTTGCGCCCAAGTAGGCAGTTTTCCAAACATATCAAGTATGTGCAAACAACGAGGATAATTACACTTGTGAATATAATGCCAAAGTTGGATTATTATTAAAAGAAAAATACCTAAAGCAGTAATGAGTCTTTAGAAATTGTTTAGAGTAAAAGAAAAATCTTAATTGCATTCCAAACAAAAACAAAAAAAGTAAACAAAGAATCATAATTTAATTTAATTTAATTTAATTTTACTCTAATTAGATTAATATAATTTCTTTACTGACCTTGTAAAAGGTTCATTGCCATGGCTTTACCAAAATATTTATATAAAAATATTAAACGTTCTATTTCAATTCCAAAACTAAATAAATAAGCCGTGACTATCTCTAATCAATCAACAATATTAAATTGCGGCTAACTAATGTGTTCATTGGTAAATTTAGCTTGTCAGAAATAATTATTATAAATTTTCATGCATAATGAACACAAAAGTATAAAAATGGGGATGATAGAAAGAGCTGAATTCAGAGAGAACTTTCCGTTGACAGCAAGCGTTTGAAAAAAAATGAGTCGAATACTTTGGATATTTTTAATAATTGCTACTACAACAAATGTTCAGGCATATAAAGTAAGTGAATTTCTAAAAAAATAAAAAGGAATTGAAAATAAATTATTTTATGTTTAAATAGAATACGGACGTGATTGTCGGGATATTTCGTGTGCGCCAGGAGAGAGATGTGTTATATCAAAGGAGATCTGTACAGGATCAAAGCGTGAGGGCGATGAATGCGGAGAATATCCTACTTGTGAAGCAAAGGATCAATACTCTTCGAACTCAGGTTAACTTTATTTTCTTTTTAATTTAAGCAACTATTTATCTTAAATTAAAACAGATTCTGAGGATCGTACAAAACGCCAAGCAAATCAACAAGGATACGGAATGGGTGGAAGCGGAATGGGTAGAGGAAATGGAATGAATGGAGGTAATGGAACGGTGGCAACGGAATGGGTGGCAACGGAATGAATGGAATGGGTGGACGTGGGGGAAATGGCATGGGTGGCAACATGGGTGGGGGATACACCGGAGAATGGGCGGTGGAAATGGAATGGGTGGAAGAGGAGGATATGGCAACGGAATGGGTGGCAATGGAATGGGAGGTAATGGTAACGGAATGGGTGGGCAATGGAATGGGTCCAGGTGGAATGGGTGGTAGAGGAGGCTATGGCAACGGAATGGGTGGAAATGGTATGGGTCCGGGAGGAATGGGTGGCAATGGTATGGAGGACGTGGCGGCAACGGAATGGGTCCTGGCGGAATGGGTGCAATGGAATGGGACCCGGAGGAATGGGACAAGGTGGAATGGGTAATCGCGGTGGCAACGGAAACGGAATGGGTGGTCCAAATGGAATGGGTGGACCAAATAGAATGGGAGGACCAAATGGTATGGGTGGACCAAATAGAATGGGAGGACCAAATGGAATGGGAGGACCTGGTAATTGGCAAGGCAATTATAATGGAAATGGATCAGGTTACAATGGTAATTATCGAATGGCGGCGGAAACTACAATCAAAGCTATACCACTTCTTCTACCACAACAACAACGAGTGGATGGTGATCGTCAAATAAAATAATGGAATAGGTTAATGAAAATGTAAATGTAATTACATTTATTGCTGTAATGTTTCTCAATAAATCGTGAGTTGAGCATTGAAAATCTATTGTATATGTATTCTTTCAGTGAACGAAAATGGTATGAAAATTGCAAATACTTAAACATATTTTATGAATTTTGCAGTACTTCTTCAATCCATCTAAATCACTTCGATCATGAACATCAATTATTTAAATATTTATTGCCTTCATAATATGCATAATTAGTGCCAAAATATTAATATATTCATGCGTGCTTAACTCAGCAATTAAGCAGACAAAAAATACGGTGGTGTGAGAAAGGTTAAACTTCCTTCAGCTGCTGTATATTAACCAAAACCAGTCACGCCATCATGATGGAGCGGACAGCTGGCTTTCTAATAGATTGCCTTATCCTTTAATTGATTACAATAAACACAAATGGAGGGAGTAGGAGAAGGCGGGAGAGAACTAAGGACATTTTTCTGGTCTTTATCCTGGCTACGTGCTTGCCTCTGGCTTGCGTGCATTTCCATATTGTTTAGGAGAAGTTGGTATAGAAAAAAGGGGTGACCTGCGTGACCCTGACTCTGGCTCGAGCCACCCCATTTCAGAATTCTAGCTCCCGATCCTGAATCCTGACCAACCCCAAGTATTTGTTTTTTCTTTTTTTTTTCTTTTGTTGACCAGGTGCATAACAAAATCGACCAACTTCAAACTATACAATCTTTATTAGCTGGAAAAGTCGGGGAATATAATCAATTAGAAATGTCACTAGCTTGATATACTAGCAATTTCCGTATTCAAAAATTATAAATAAAACTATGAAGTCCTGTTAAATGATAATCAATAATGAAGAAACGTTTAAGATTTAATGAGAACTGTATCATTCTTAATCATCTTCATATTATAGGGGAAATAATTAAATTTAAAGTTCAGAAAAAACCCTATAAGCTACTTGTGATCATAGCCCTGAATAATGATTTTTAAAGTCCCCATTTCTAGCTAAAAAGTTGGACCATTAATTCAATAAACCACAGCGAATTGCTTAAGAGCCCAATTGCCTTTACGATGATTGATATCTCGATAAAATCGCCATCGGAAGCTCCCCACTTCTCCAACTCATACCTCATTTATTTAAACATCTAAGGAAGGTTTTCCCTTTCAGCGTTTTTCCATCGACATTCAATTTTCAAGGCTGGTGCTGCTGTCATGGGTTAACGCCGTGGCCAGTGCCAGGCAATCCATTTAGCCTTCGGGGGAAAAGGATGTGTTCTGGGTGCCGGCTCTGGGCCATTTTATAATTTATCAAAATGAAAATTGATGCCGCAGTGTGGCAAGTGCAGCTCGTTTGCCATCTCTTGTGGAAATCCTTGGGTTTCCTTGCGTGCTGCACTTGCAGCAGGGGTGGGGAGAGATGCCGCATGCCACACGAAATGCCATCGCAAATAGCGAAAATGCTTTCGCAAATATTTAGCCGAACTTTTTTAGCGACACGCGTTCAGGTCGAGGTCCACAGCCGGAAAGTATGCAGCAGCTTTAAGGCTGCATCGTATCCTTTTTGCCCTCGTCCTGTGTCTATACAGCTCCTTGTCCAGTTTTCTTTGGTTTTCTGTTGTTTCAATACCCAGTAAAGAGTTGGATTGAAGGAGAGTTATGGAACATGGAGAAGGTATATTGTCAGTTGGAGAATTAAATAAAAGATGTAATAATATTGAAGAGGTATTTATTACTTAATAAAATAATTCTACAAAGGAAATTAGAACAGGATGGAAGCAAAACATAAGGAAACCGATGTTTGTATACCCTTAAAATGGTTAAGAAAGTCCAATTTTAAGTTGATCATATCTAAGTCAAAAATACATTAATTTTAATTCTAAAAGCTGTTCCAAGCTAGTTTTTATAATGCTAAGAAATCTGTAAACTACGTTTTAAAATTTAAAACACTAAATTTTTTGTTAATTTTAATAATTTTAGACCCCTTAAAACCTTTTCAAAATATTAAAAAAAATTCGAAAATATATTTTTTTAAAGGCACATATCTAGAAAGAATTTCCTATTGATGCTGATCAAGAATATATATGATTTATAGGGTCGGAATGATTCTCTACTAATTACAGCTCTTTACTAATTAGAATATCCAGCCAAAATACAATAAGGGTAAACTCTAAAAATAGAATTACAAAGGTTATACCTTAAACCTTTAGTAACTAGAAACAAATTTCAAGATAATGTATATAATATTTGTATTTATTTGTTATTCAAACTATTTCCAAATACCTAAGAGGTAACTTTAGTTCCTTAACAAAAACTCTCCCGATTTCGTGTTCTTTGGACAGTAGCATTTATGCCAGTTAAGTTGTTGGCCAGTTCGTGACTGCTGGCGGCCTTTATTGCGCTTGCATTTTCATTTGTGAGTGTAAATAGCATTAAAAATAATTTTCCGGCTTAAAAACGCTCCGCACGAACCGAGGAAAGCGCAGGGAAGCGAACAGAACACAAAAAAAAAGAAAAAAGGACGAAGAGGGAAGCGCTGACAGCCGGACGGGCTTATGCACTTAATGAAATGTACACGGCAATTGTTACGGGAGACCGAGACGGATCCGGAGATGGAGATGGATCCGGAGATGGCAGCAAGAGCTGGACTCGATTCCGGAGCCGGAGACTCCGACGGCGACAAAGATGCTGCGGCATCAATTGGAGGCAACTTAAATTTCACTTTGGCCATCATTTCTGGCAAGCAAATGGCAAAGATCGCATTAAATGGCTTCAATGGGTTAAGTACAACTGCCAGCGGGTTAAGCCATCCGTGTTGTTTGTCCAATTTAAGTGTTTTCTTTCCCCCCAGTTTAAATGCTGTTAAGAGTCCTGGCGAAAAACGGATCAACAATTAAATGTCTGTGGCAAATGGAAAAGATTGCCAAACAAAAGAGGATTTCTACCCGATAATGTTATTAAATAAATTGTAAATATTGAATCAAGTTGTGAGTGATGCAAGTTAATTGTCTTTAAGTTTTTTTAATTAAAAATTTATTTAAAATGCTTGAATTTTCAGTGCCATCTTATCGTCACCTTTAATTGCAAAGTATTTTGCAAAAATCTAATTGAAATCCATTCATTGATAACATCACCTCTATAAATATTCATGAAGTTTTACCCACATCTCTCTCTCTCTCTTATCCGGTTTTTGTGTTGTTCTTTCATTTGCAATCGCTCTGACCAAAAGCTTAATAATAATAAAACTTAAAACTCAACCGGATTTCAATGGCTAAATTAAACATTTTGCATAATTATATCAGGTCGTTGTTGTTGGGGCAGGTGTAATAGTCTTGGCGCACAATCTGATTCAAAATACAATTGAAATAGCTGAGACATTAAATCAAAATGAATTTGTTAACGACAATGGCCGTGTACCCGATTGGCCGGAAGGAAAACTCTTGGCTGGACTTGAGACTGTCAAAAGGAATTTTCAATTACGAGGCAAAACGCCGAAACAAGTTATTAGGCAAACTTTGGCCTCCTTTTGGCATCCATTGTATCTGTTTCTCTCACCAAATGGTAATTACAGTCCGGTCTGGTAAGGCTGTAATTAAATATTCTCCAGCAAAATGAACTTGGACAGCCGGAGTGCCGATAAATGGAGAAACTGTAGGTGAATAAGAGATAATCATATCAGCAGCTCTACAATTAGCCAGGCCAAAACTAAGAGGTTTGGTCCTTAAGTTAAGCCAAGAACTTGGTTTGTGAACATACTCAAAGGCATTTTAATCGATTGGTTGGTTAAAGTTTGAGATGTTTCCATTCAATTTATGTAAATGCTTTGAATGCTGCTTCAAGATGTGAAAGTTTTCTAATAACCATTATTTTCTAAGAATTAATTTAGTAGAAGAAAGTGGAGAACTCTCCCAAATTTAAATTTAAATACAATTATGTTTAACTTAATAAATTTATTGAAATAAACACATCGACTTGGCGCTCTTATAAAGATCTTTCTTTTTGCTTTGATCCTGGGAATCCACATTGGTGGTGGTGGTGCAAATACGGACTGGTGGTGGTTCATTCCTGACGGTGGATGTTGATGCCCTGGTGGGTAACCTATCCGTAGTAGTCACTCGAGTACTCGAATGCGGAACCCTGAGATATTGATGTGATTCCGATGTGATCGAGGGCATCCTTTGAAGGCGACTTAATGAGCTGAGTTTCGTGATTCTGCCATCGGTTCATCAATCTCTGCAATTAATTTTAGATTACATGGTTGCGTGGGATCAAAGCCCAGCTCATTAAATCTATTTTCCTGAGCGGCAGTGCTATCCGTAGAGATACCCATGTAATAAGAGCTATCCACTTGAGTACGTTCACCGCATGGTGGAAACGATTCTCTAATATTTGCATTGCAGGATGTCTCCTGGGAAATGCTCATTTCGGAGCTACTTTGACAGCCAAATTCATCGAATATAAGACTTCGAGCCAAAGGTACCGAGTAGAACTCCCTGTAATGCAACCTGCGACGACGCTCAAAGTCCAATCGACGAACACTATCTCCAGCGACTCTGGATACTCTTCCTCCTCCGATGATTCATCGGAGTCATCATCGAATCCAAATGCTGGCATTTGTGTTTTCGAAGTGACTTGCAACTTCTCAATCAAGGCATTCATGTCCAACTCCTCCGGAATGGCATCATCGAAGACAAATGGTGTCTTTGGCTCATCGATAATCATGTGGCCATAGTCCTTGTTGGTGGGGTGAAATGTGGCCAGAATGTTCACCTCATCGAACTTGGCCGATCTTACAGGTAAATTTGTACTAATTGCACCTGAGGGTGCTTTTAAAATACCCTTTACTTCGTTTTTCTCCATTGTGTTCTGGAATGGGTTATAAATTACACATCTTCTAAAAACTTAATTTATTTTTCAAACTTACTTTACTGTAATAAACTGTGTGTGTTTGAATAAATGTAACTGCTTTGGGATGTAGAATTCAACTGACCAAATACATGTTAATTTGGTAGGAAGTCAAACTCAATGACTACTTTTTGGACATAAGAAAATTACTTCTATCAAAAAAAAAATACATTTTCGAAGGTACATATATTAACTTCTTTTGTTTTTTACTTCTTACTAATATTTAATCTTAATACCCAAATATTTTTACAAATATAATTAGATTATTAAATTATCCCCTTGGTAATTTATAGTGTTTTATAGGTATGGTATGGAAAATATAAACAAATAATTAGACATTTAGTTGCTTTTCTTCATAAGAGCTTTTAGAGTAATTAATACAAGTACCCTTCTTTGTTTTGCCACCCATTTGCAATAATTTACTTATGCATTTCCCCTCAAAATTATCCTGTAATCATTTAGGGATAACAAAACAGAACTCCCAATTAGACGGCATAAGGAATCACTTTCACATGATATCAGGGATATATATCCCTGGAATAATCCTTTTTTATAAAACTGTTGGCCTTGTTGTTCTTGGATTGAGAATGTCAGATACTCAATGCTGGGTACTCAATACTCGAAGGTTCATACTCCACGAGAACTGTGTACAATCGCAGCCATCAGACCACAAAGTAAACTCATTTTGACGTGTTCCGGACTGACGGTGGGCGGGTGAGGAAAACGATGACGAAAGGGAGTGGAAAATGCAGTCAGTGAGAGAGGGAGGTAGGTGGAAAATGCAGAGAGAGTGAGAGGAAGGTTTGGTGGAAAAGCGGAGTCAGAGCAACGCTTCATTATTGATGCTTCATACTGTAGTTTTTGTTATTGATGTAAACATATTCATCACAAACATGTTACCTACGGATATGAGATGGAAAAGTGAGCGGGAAAAGCGAGAGGAAAATGATGGGGGGGGAGGGTTGATGGGCTGTAATCGAATGGTGATGAGGGGGTGTACCAACCAATACAGTTGTGGCAGTTGCAGTTTGGTTCTGTGGCAGCTGCCACTCCAAAACACTTCACTGCACACACCATTTTTTCCCCTATTTCCTCTGTCCAGGGGGGTGGAAATGCGATTGGGGGTGGTGGTAGTCATGGGGTGGGGCTCCTCCATACTCAGTCAGCCGGCGGTGAAGGGATCAGAGGGCACTGTATTGGGAATTGATTGCTGCACATTATTTCAATTTTGCCAGCAAATAAACAAGCCTTTTGCAGTGCCACTTTTAGACTTGAGCCCATGCACTGGAAAAATTATAGGAATGTGTTTATAATATTTATAAAGTAAAGATTTTTAAGGGATATTAAAATGTCATAAAAAAATATACGTACTAATAGGTATCTGTTCCCTGGATAAAAAACAACATAACTAAACCATTAATTTTAACAATTAACAATTTAAGAAATCTGATCTGATAGAGAAGAAATTTCTAACTTTAAAATGTGATTCTTTTAAGTCAAAATACAGATGAATTAAAGCTGATAAAAATAGTTTAATAAACATTTTCAAAGATTTTTAGATACATATTATAAGTTGTGAGTAGTATCTATTTTATATTAAAATAAATACAAAACTTGAAATATTTCAAAAATAATCTCAAATTGTAATCTTTAATATTTAAATGATATATACTAATATTATAGAATATTTCCCAATGTCTTGCAATGCATTATATCATTCATATGAAGCTGCTTATAAGCTCAGTGAATGCGACAAAACAGCACCATAAAAGTGACGATGACGAGGAGTGTGTGTGTGTCCTGTGAGTTGTTTTCCTCTCCTCTCGTTTTCCCAACTTGATGATGATGATGATGATGATGTTCCTCCGATCTCCAACTGGAATATAGAGGCAATGCCTGCAAACAGTCAACAACTGTTTTTCCGTGTGCCTGGCATGAGTTTTGAGTTTTCCAGCCATGTTTGATTGCCACTCCTCCTCTTTTGCTAGAGATGTTGATGGGGGCTGGGGTCTAGGAAATTTTTTCCTCGATTTACGGAATTGCAGTTGGCCCGATTGCATTTCTTATGTGGCAACAATGTGCAATGGTAGCAGGATGTGTGCATTGCGTATCTCTATCTGTATCTGTATCTGTATCTCGATCTGAAACCGTGCAAGTGCTACGTGCCACGTGCTACATACATACATATGTGCATAAGTAACGGCAGCGAGGTGCGAGAACCGAAAAAAGGATGGGGGGAAAATGTGGAAAATGAGGGGAGGGGAAGGAAAAACAGGCTTCCTTCCACATATCAACAGGATTTTATGGCAAAATCATAAATATTCCTCGATTCCTTCGGCTTTCGCCTTTGCGTCTTCTTCCGCTTCGCTATGAAACATCCGTTTCCGCAAAGGAGTTGCATCCGATAACCCTCCACCATTTTTTGTGAAAAAACACGGGAGGTCTTGAAGGATACAGTGAACTTAAAATAAATATAAATATGTTAATTTTTAAGGTACAGAAAATAATACTTTATTTCCTTTTTTAATGCCTCTAAATTAAGCTTAAAATTACTGATAGTTCCTTTGCAAATTGGTTATGTTTTCTCCATGAATCCCTTAATTCCTTTTGGCATTAATTCGAGATACTTTTGAGTGTTTCATTCGACAAGATCACCCACTGTATTGCAATTGAACTGGCAAACGGTTATGCATATTTATTAAAAACTGTCTGCTGCGATTAAAAGCCAATCAGACCAATTGCAAATTCCTTTTATTGGCCTACCAACCATCCTTTTGGCCTGCTCCCATCATCTCCAGTCTCCACCCTGTGACCATCCCAGTAGTTTATAA